CCTCCCCGAGCAACGTCGGGGCTGGACCCTGTCCCTGCCCCTGCGGCAGCCACCGTCCCTGCTTGAGCTAATTAAGGGCTAATGAGACAAGGCACTTGAGAGCTTTTGAGCCTAATCCTTGAGTGGCCTCAGGCTGCGGTTTGGGGTAGGGGGGGAAGTGTTGGAGGGGGGTGAGAGGAGCAGGCTGGGTACCCCAAGCCGCAGCCGCGCCTTCTCCCCCGTCCATCATGGCTGCTTCCCATCCTGGCGCACAGCGAGCCGTGCCCTGCTGTGCCCAGGGCTCACACGGTGCCCGGCATGAGGGTATCTGGGACGGGTATGGGCTGTACCTCTGCTCCCCCTGACCCCATCCCCTCTTTCCCCAGGCATCATGGCTGGCTCCAACCGCTCGGGAGACCTGCGGGATGCCCAGAAGTCCATCCCCACAGGCACCATCCTGGCCATTGCCACCACCTCTGCGGTCTGTATCCTTCAGGGCTGGCCTGAGCCTGGGCTCTGGGTGGGTGGGCTCTGCGGGGCAGATCAGCTCGGGTGCTGCACTGGGCTGGGCAGGCAGGACTCTGCATCCTCCTGGCTCTCCTTGACTACCTGGCAGATATCAGCTCTGTTGTCCTCTTTGGAGCATGCATCGAGGGGGTCGTCCTGCGTGACAAGTGAGTGTCCCAAGGCCATGGGGGGCATGGAGAGAGTCTGGCAGCCCCCCAGAACAGGCTGCGGCTGGGGCAGCCCTAGGGCCAGGCAGAGGTGGGGGGAAGGCTGCAACCATGACACACTGGGCAGACATGGGGGCATTGGGGGGCTCGTGGGTGTAACCAGGCAGGGGGGCTGGAGCTTGTAACCAGCACTGGGGGCTTGTTTGCATCCCAGCCATCCATGTTTGCTGCATTCCTCCCCCTCCGGGGCTGCAGGCAGCCACTTGTTTGTCAACAGGCAAGGCTGCCTGTGCTCCTGCTTATCTGGGGCAGCCCTGCTCACCGCACGTGGCAGGTGACACTTCTGGGTCGCCAGCACCAACACAAACAGGATCCAACTGCATGCATCATCATTGCCCCCCCCCGGCACAGGGATGAGGAGTGCTGTCCCACACCTGCCCTTGTCCTTTGCCACGATTATGGGTGCAGGGATGAGGACAGACCCCTGGCAACCTGCTCCATTGCTCACCCCTTGAGTCAATTCCCAGCTGTGTCACCCCAGAGTGGTGCTGTTGTGGGGCTGGGTTGTGCCACTGTGGTGCTGGGTCATGGGATAGAGCTGCAGGTGATGCTGATCCCCGCAGGTTTGGTGAGGCTGTCAACGGGAACCTGGTGGTTGGCACCCTGGCGTGGCCGTCCCCGTGGGTTATTGTCATTGGCTCTTTCTTCTCCACCTGCGGGGCGGGGTTGCAGAGTCTCACCGGAGCCCCCCGCCTCCTGCAAGCCATCTCCAGGGATGGGATCGTTCCCTTCCTCAGGGTAGGTGACCCCCGAGTCCGGTGCTTCCCCACCCTGAGCGCCCACTGTGGACCCCACCGTGCCTCCCCCCGGCGCCGTCGGTGCCGGAGCACCCCCACACCCCTGCCCTTGCCCCGCCGGTACCGGCACCGGCACCGTCACGGCGGTGGGCGGCCGTGGTGGCTCTGGCTGCGGTGTCGGTGGGAGGAGAGTGTCGGGAAAGGTCAGAATTCCCTCCCCCCCGCTGCCGTGCCGCTTCATATTTTATCTGCTCTCTGAAGACGCGTTCCCACAACCTCATCTCTCCAAATCCAACCCGACAGCTCCCCCCAGGGAAGAGCGGGCTAATTTTATCCTCCCTCCTTCTCCTTGCCAGCCCCAGCCCGAGCTCTCGCTCGCACCGCCCGCACCCTCTAATGCGTCCGGACACGCGCCCCCGGCCCCCTCCCCGCTCCGCCCGCAGCCGCAGGAGGGGCCGCTGTCCCCCGGCTGTGTGTCCGTCCCGAGCACGGGTGCCCGGCTCTGTGCGGCCGTGGCCAGGCTGGGAGCTGGGGCTGGTCCCTGCTGGGGTACAGGGGCTGCTGGGCTGGGTGTAGGAAGAGCCACGGGATGTGCCGGGAACGGGACTGTTCTGCCAGCAGGAGCCAGTGCTGGGAATGCTTTCCTGGCAGATTCCAATGGGACATGAGCCAGCTCACGGCACCCAGTGTTCCCAGTCCCTGATCCTGCCAGGGCTGGGTGTATGGGGAGGTCCAGTTCCATCGCGCTGCACTGAGCGCCCTTGCCCAGGGCTGCAGGGCACCGCAGAGCCTGACACGCCCTCTCCCCCCCCTTTCCAGGTCTTTGGCCATGGCAAAGCCAACGGGGAGCCGACATGGGCCCTGCTGCTCACAGCCTGCATCTGCGAGATCGGGATCCTGATCGCCTCCCTGGACGAGGTGGCTCCCATCCTCTCCATGTAGGCAGCGTGCTGTCGACCCGCCCCTTCACAACTGCGGGTGGCGTGTGTGGGTCTCTGATCCTCGGGGGAGGGGGGAACGGACCTGCTGCCCTGGCCCCTGCCTGGGAAGAGGGGGGCCCTGCGGGAACTCTGGGCTCACATCTTGGCCAGCATTGAGGCTTGTTTTGTCCATGGCACTGCTTCTCTGTCCATCAGCAGGGCATGCTCCAGCATTGGCCACCCTGGACCCAGGAGGTGTGGAGGCTTCAGTCCCTCACACTGCACCCACTCAGCCCCCTGCTCTCTCCTGCAGGTTCTTCCTCATGTGCTACATGTTTGTGAACCTGGCGTGTGCGGTGCAGACGCTGCTGCGGACGCCCAACTGGCGGCCCCGCTTCCGCTACTACCACTGGTGAGCCGGGCGGGACGGGGCAGCACAGGGACACCCAGGACACCCTGCTGGGGGCCCCAGGGCACTCTGACAGCTCTGTGCCCTCTGCAGGACCCTGTCCTTCCTGGGCATGAGCCTCTGCCTGGCGCTGATGTTCATCTGCTCCTGGTACTACGCACTGGTGGCCATGCTGATCGCTGGCCTCATCTACAAATACATCGAGTACCGCGGGTAAGGGAGGCCACGGTGTGCAGCTCCTGTCCTGGCCAGCCCCCGTGGCCATGTGGCCTCTCAGTGTGGCTGCTTGGCTGCCCTGGGCTGCTTGTCCCAGGGTGCTCCAGGGTGCCAGCGTGGTGCTCTGTGCCAGAGCCATGGGCATCCCTTATGTGCTGTGGTTCCTGCAGGGCGGAGAAGGAATGGGGTGACGGGATCCGGGGCCTGTCCCTGAGTGCAGCCCGCTATGCCCTGCTGCGGCTGGAGGAAGGGCCCCCACACACCAAAAACTGGAGGTGAGGCTGGGCAGGGAGATGGGCACCTCAGGGTTCTGGGGCAGGGATGAGCTGGGTACGGGCACTGACTGCAGGACCTTCCTTCCAGGCCGCAGCTGCTGGTCCTGGTCCGTGGGGATCAGGAGCAGAACGTGGTGCACCCGCAGCTCCTGTCCTTCACCTCGCAGCTCAAGGCTGGGAAGGGCCTCACGATCGTGGCCTCGGTGTTAGAAGGGACCTTCCTGGACAACCACCCTCAGGCACAGAGGGCAGAGGAGGTGAGAGCTGCCTGCACTGGGACAGGCTGTGCCAGCAGTAGGTCCCCAGGTGCCCAGGGTTGTTTCTGCCCCATGGCCAGGGCTGGTGGCCCCAAGATGGCCCAGAGAGCTTTCAGTGGCATCAGGCAGAGCCTGAGGACTCCGTGCTTCACTGGTGTTCACAGTACCACAGGGACCTGTGGGCTCCTCTTCCCCTCCAAGACACCAGAGATGCTGGCACCAGCCAAGTACTAGTCCCAGTCTTGGCCAGCTGCTGCAGGACTTGGCACAGCTGCTGTGCTGAGCAGACTCCTCAGCCTCAACCCTTGCCACAGTCTCTGTGGCCCTGGTGCCAGGCAAGGTGGGAGATGAGCCTTTCCCCGCCAGAGAGAGAGCACTCCCCACCCCCTGCACCCGCGGGGCGGCACATTAATGAGATTAAGCCCTTGGAAGCAAACAGTTTCTCTCCCATGCAGACATGTTATAATTTCTCTGAGTAAATAACTCTAATTGCTGCTCTGCCACCTGTCAGAGCCCTGGCACAAGGACACCCTCCACTCTGCACGGTGCAGAGCTGTGTGCCAGCTCTGTGCTCCGCTGGGTATCACCCCACTGGCCTGGAGCCACTGGCCTGCCGTGGGGCACAGAGACCCTGTGAGGATCTGCACTCCACAGCCCTGTACCCCATACTCTGCACCCCCCATTCTGTACCCTGTACCCCACATTCTGCACCCTGCACCTCACAGCCCTGTACTCCATACTCTGCACCCCCCATTCTGTACCCTGTACCCCACATCCTGCACCCTGTACCTCATCTGGCCTGGGCTGGGCCACTGCTGGCCCTGGCAGCTGCTGTGCCCATGCTCCATGCCCATCCCTGAGACCCTGGGGTCTCTGACTTCCTTCTCCCTTGCAGTCCATCCGGCGCCTGATGGAGGCAGAGAAGGTGAAGGGCTTTTGTCAGGTGGTGATCTCCTCTAACCTGCGGGATGGCATGTCCCACCTGATCCAGTCCAGCGGGCTGGGGGGGCTGCAGCACAACACAGTGCTGGTGGGCTGGCCCCGCAGCTGGCGCCAGAAGGAGGACCACCAGACCTGGAGGAACTTCATTGGTAGGCACCGTGGAGGGTGGGCACTGCCGGGCCTGGGGGGCTGCAGGCTGCCCTGGCTGACGTGGCCCTTCCCCTCCCAGAGCTGGTGCGAGAGACCACAGCTGGGCATCTGGCCTTGCTGGTGGCCAAGAATGTTGCCATGTTTCCGGGCAACCAGGAGCGGTTCTCGGAGGGTCACATCGACGTCTGGTGGATTGTCCACGATGGGGGGATGCTGATGCTGCTGCCCTTCCTGCTGCGGCAGCACAAGGTAGGCTGGGCCCTGCAGTGCTGGGCTGGGGCTGTCCCTGTCCCTGTGGAGCTGTACTCAAGCCTCCTCCATCCCTTGCAGGTGTGGCGTAAGTGCAAGATGCGCATCTTCACGGTGGCACAGATGGATGACAACAGCATCCAGATGAAGAAGGACCTGACCACGTTCCTGTACCACCTGCGCATCACCGCAGAGGTGGAGGTGGTGGAGATGGTGAGTGCTGGGACGGGGCACGTGCTGCAGTCAGGGATGCTGTGCATGGGAGCCAGACAGAGCCTGACGTGGGGCACACAGCACCCTGGGCGGACACAGCATCACGGGGACATGCTGGGCCATGCTGGGAGCAGGTAGTACAGCTAACCCTGCCCCAAATTTCTTCTGTTCTCCCAACAGCATGAGAGTGACATCTCTGCTTACACCTATGAGAAGACTCTGGTGATGGAGCAGCGTTCCCAGATCCTCAAACAAATGCACCTCACCAAGAATGAGCGGGAGCGGGAGGTGAGGCTGCAGGACAGGCTGGGTGGGCTCTGACCCCTGTGGTGGCTCTGATGTGAACCTAGTGTGCTCATCCTGATGGGCTTCAGGCTAGGCTCTGCCCAGCCAAGCCCTCTTGTGCCCAACTCCCTTGGCTGATCCCTCCCACACAGATCCAGAGCATCACGGATGAGTCCCGTGGCTCCATCCGGCGCAAGAACCCGGCCAACACCCGCCTGCGCCTGAACGTCCCCGAGGAGCAGGCTGCTGATGGCGAGGAGAAGCCAGAGGAGGAGGTGAGGGACTGTACCGAGACACGGCCAGGCAGGGAGCTAGCCCCAGGCCCCAGGCCCTGCCCGCCATTCCCCTCTTCCCTCTGCAGGTCCAACTAATCCACGACAAGAATGCCACCACCTTCTCCAGCAGCTCTCAGTCTCCTGGTGATGAGGTGGAGGCAGCCCCTGAGAAGGTGCATCTCACCTGGACCAAGGAGAAGTCCGTTGCTGAGAAGAACAAGAGCAAGAGCCCTGTCAGCCCTGAGGGCATCAAGGACTTCTTCAGCATGAAGCCGTACGGCCCCCCATGCTGCCACCTTGTCCCACCCATACCCTGTGACCCTGGCTGTCCCTGCCTGCCCCAGCCAGGGGGTCCAGGCAGGGCCTCGGCAGCTCCAGCTCGATCCTTGCCCTGAGGAGTGGTCAGGCAGCCTGGGTGCTCTGAGTGTGCCCTTGCAGAGGGGCAGGTGGGGAGGGGTCCCTGTGTAGAACTGTGCTGGCAAGGAGTGGGCTGCCCAGGCTGGGTGTGCTGTGGGGAGTGAGGGTGCCCACCTGGTGTTCACCACATTTCTCTCTTTCTCTCTCTCTCTTTCTCTCTCGGACCCCATCATGCTCCTGGCAGGGAGTGGGAGAACCTGTAAGTCTGGGTTTGGCTGGGTGCCGGGGCTGGGGTGGAGGGAGCTGGGTTGTGCTCATGGGGCAGCATGATGGGAGCCATGGGGGTTGCCCCTGTGCAGGAGGGCGGCTCAGTGAGCCGTGACAGCTGCACTGCCAGACAGCTCAC